TACAAAAAAGTCTTAGAAAAACGTTCATTAACTTTGCATCAACTAATATTTATGAATACTAGTTGACTTACCCGGCTCCGCCCGGCCCTGTCATTATTATATTCGTAATCAGCATGCTCGATTACCCCCCCCCCCCTGTGCCAACTCCCAGCCCCGTAGCTCAAATTTTGCAAAAAATCGATAAAATCGATATCGATCGATACGAAAAGTAGCCTATGACACCCGTCGGGGCCCGAAGTGTATGTGCGCCAAGTTTGGTCCGGCCCCGTGAAAACACTATAATAAGGCTCCCATCCCTATCCTTGTATAACCTTTCCCTGTGCCCACTTTAACATACCAACTCCAACTCCCTATTCCCGCTGTTTTTGTAATCAGCATGCTCGATTATCACCCTGTGCCAACTCCCAGCCGGTTCAAAAATGGAATTTTCTATTCGGAACATACACACAGACATACAGACAGACAGACAGACAGACATACAAACAGACATTCAGCTTTATATATAAGATTATTGTGTATGATTATATCGTGGATGTTGAAATGGAAGTTACATAGAATGGTAAGGATGATAACTTTATTTTTGATATGTAATTTGTTTAGAAAGTCATTGTCAAAACAACAAGTTGATAATTTACTGTATGATTCTTTTTTTGGTGAATATATGTAATGAAAGATTAGGTGGGTCCGTTTTGTCGTTTTTTTCAATCCATTGGCAAACACGCTAGAATGAAGATAAACAAAAGCCTCAAAATGTATCCAATGCAGAATTTCTTCCTCTTTCCAGCTGCTGAACTCCCATTGTGTTTCGTTGCGAGAGTGACAGAATATTTGCTGGCAATTACAACCACTCGTTTTTACCATGTCCAACTTTCGTTGAGTTTCAAAATTTTTGTATGAGACTTTCATAGGAGTTTTAATAACCAGCAGATAGGGCAAACCTTTTGCCAACAGAGGCAATTTTTTGTAGTCCTACGGCTTGTCTTCCGGAATTTCTACGATTTATTTTTTGAAGTGACCCAATTTTAAATTCAGTCTATTTTAACCTCGTAGAACATAAAATGTTAAACACTTCAGTCACCATTTGATGCAGATTTTTCTTCTTTTTCTAATACTTGACTTTTTTTGCCGAGAAAGGCGAAATTTGTGTGAAAAATCGCAGTATTTCTCAATTTCAGGAGTGCGCACTGACGTAACCTATGTTTCAAAATCTTCATAATTTAGAGCGAAAATCGCTCATTTACTTTGTAATGGTAGCGGTAGTAATAATCATGTGTCAAACCTTCAGTTTTCTTTAGGTTTTGCAGTGTTTGGTGCAATAACAGGTTATGCTATTTTGCCAAAACACAAGACTTTTAGAATATTATTCAGCAAAAATCTGAAAAAGCAGCTGAAAAAAAAAAGAAAAAAATTGCATACGTTGGCAAAAGGTTTGCCCTATCTGCTGATTATTAAAACTCCTATGAAAGTCTCATACAAAGATTTTGAAACTCAACGAAAGTTGGACATGGTAAAAACGAGTGGTTGTAACTGCCAGCAGATATTTTGTCACTCTCACAACGAAACACATTGGGAGTTTAGCAGCTGGAAAGAGGAAGAAATTCTGCATTGGATAAATTTTTAAGCTTTTTTAAAATTTTTTTTATAGAAAAAACCCTGCACATCGAACCCCACCTATGGCGCAGGGCACTAGCAAAAACAATGTCAGGGTCCTCTAGGCGCCTTTTGGGTTGGACATAAACGACACTGCCGGACGACATCTCATGGAAACTGCGTCAAGCTCTGCACCTACAACGCCAGGACAGTTTCCACAAACGCCAACCTCCATGCTTTTCTCGACGCTGCAGAGCATATCAAGTACCACATCATCGCACTGCAGGAAACGATGTCTAGGAAAAAGGACATGCGATAGATGAGTAATGAGACATCTATTATTCGTGGTGAAAGGTTCCATCACGGAACGTTGGAGGCGTTGGTTTTGTCGCCGACCCATCTATCGCCCATCTTGTCGATTCGCATGAGATCCCATCACCTCGAATAGCCATCCTATGACTACGACCTCCACGTCAGAAGACCATCAGCATCATCAACTGCTACTCACCAACATCGGCAACTGGCAATTCAAAACTAGGAGACGTGGAGGAGTTCGTCCGCAACGAGAAGTTACAAGTTTACAAGTTTACAATTTACAAGTTTGTCGTGGGCGACTTCAATGCGAAAATCGGGATGCCACTGGAAAAGGAAAATAGGATCGGAAAATTTGGATATTGGCTTCGAAACGAAAACGGCAACCGTCTTGTTGAGCTTCTTTGTGCCGCACAACTTTTCGACGAATATTCCATCTTCATGAAAGGAACATCGCCGGTGGACATGGGAATCGCTAAACGGAACAACTTACGCGGAGATCGACCACATTCTCACCAATCGAAAGTGGAAATTGCTCAGTGTATCAGTAGTTCCATCCTTCTGCTGTGGCTTCGGTCACCGCTTCCTTAACGAAGATAAGATTTAGTTGAAGGTGTAAAAGAAGGTGTGCTACAGTACCGCAGGAGAGAAAAGTGCCGTTTATGACAATAACAAGCTGAAGAGAGCGCATATCAAGTTGTGACTGGCCCGTCAAGGAGGACCTGACGCACGACTTTGACCCACTTATGAAAGGATTGCGGAACTGGGGAGAGTGCACTTCAGCAAGTGACTTCCGAAAAGAACTTGAAACGCATTTTGAAGACCATCAAAGAATTGTTCGAAAGAAGAAGATTTCTGAGGCAGGATCCGAATGCAACCCATCTCGAGCACTGATAGCTAACGCCAGGTGCAAAACAGCTTTGCAGCAGGATCTCAGGAAGTACAGGCAAGCCAAGATACTGGAAGCAGCCGAAGAAAGACGAAGTCTGAGGATGTGCCGAAAGGACCTTTGTGAGTATCACGTACGCTGGCTGCACTATTAAACGAAGACAGGACTCCGACTTCTTCTTGTTATAAGATGGAATCTATAACAGGAAGAACTTCTACACTAACCTCTTCCGCTCCAACACCCGTGGCAACGCCCTTTTTTCCTACTAGAAAAAAAGTATCACCGCGGATTCTACCTGAAGTCCCACCGCAATTTAGACCATGAAGACGTCCACGGTTGGACTAGACCATTTTTTTGTCGAACTTCTGCGAGTCGGAGGACAACATCTACACGCGACGCATCCATCGCCTCATCTTCAAAAAGGAAAGATTCCTGATCAGTGGAAGACTCAAGAATCGTCCTTCTCTTCAAAAAGGGCGAAGGAGAAGATCTTTGGGACTACCGCCCAATATGTTTGCTAAATGTGCTGTACAAGCTCCAGGAATATCATCGTCTCTTGCATATCTAGGACATTGGATGAAACCACAAAAACATGCTGAATTTCGCAAAGGGTTCGGCTGAATGAACCGCATCCAGACGGTTTCGGGGGTCATAAAGGTCTTCCGAAAATACCGACTGCCTCTCGTCCTAACTTCGTCGTTACAATCCTTTAGCGTCGAAATCAATGCCACTGTCAGCGCTAGTCGACGAAAGAGTACACCCAGCGTGAAAAAGTCAGCCGACTGCTACAAGGACTGTATAACAACGATGCAGTTGTTCCATCGCCTTGAGGATCCCATTTGGGAAGTGAGTCCTACAAGGCAACGCAATTTCACTGTAGCTGTTCAGTGGCCTTACAGTGGGTGTGAAGTCAATGTACTAAGAGAGAGGAATACGAGTTTATAGGAGATGTCTGTCAAACCTTCGTTTTGCGGACGACATCATATCCCGGCGTTCTGTTACGCACTGTGACTTGGGCCGGCACTGTAGCCACGTCAAAAGCTTTGCGGACCACCCACAGAGCGGTTGAGCACGTCTGCTAAAGATGACCAGATAATCGATATCTTGTTGGACTTCGCAGTACGGATGCGAGCAGAATGTCCTGTTTTTTTGTGACCTAGCGGAATACCTTGCGATTGAGAAGCATGGATAGGTCGGTCACATCATGAGAAGAACAGACGACAGGTGGACACTAAGAACGTCTAAGTGGGTACCTCGCGAAGCCAAACCTCTTGAGGAAGACCACTAATGAAATGGGCAGACGCGTTCGTGGAACGGATGGACCAGCTGAAAAATTGACTGGATACGATTCTAGCACCTGCAACTCGTGGACGCAGCCAAAGCGAGGGACAGGCAAGAATGGCAACTTCTGAGTTGGAGCTGCACGTAAGGAGGCGACATCTAGTACGATCTAAGTTACCATCTTAGTATTTTTTTTTGCGTTGTAACCATCTTAGTATTTTTTTGCGTTGTACTCTAATAAGGCAGGGTCGTAGAACCGAAGAGACCGATCGCTACAAAATGCATATCTTCACGAAGAACTTGCAGCGCTGATTCTAAATCTGCTTTCCATATCTGCAAAACGTTTCTGGAAAGAAAGTATGGGATTTTCTTTGCGGGAAATTTACGAGGAGAATAGCCAGAACTATCAACACTAGGCACTTTCGTTTCAAACCACTCTGAAACAGCATCCATGCTCAATGTAATGCTGACCTTTCTTGAAGTTATCCTAAAGAGCAACAACTTTGAACGATTTCCGTGAAAACTCGCTCAAAACTATGCGAAACGTGCCAATGAAAGGCGTCCATATCTCAGAAGCGTTCCAAATATAGGAAGTAGATTTGGAATCAGCGTTTCAAGCTCTTTGTAAGTTTTTGCTCTTTGTATGAATCCTGTGCTAATCAATCATTTTGACTCGACCCTCCCTTGTAGAGTGAAGTTGATCTAAAATTGCAACTGCCTAACGTTCCGGTGGCCATGGCGGTAGTGCTCAAGTCCTGCCCTTGAATGTTAGGAAGCTTCGTGTTTTCCCTTTTCCTTCTCAAGAAAACATACGCCGTTTGTAAGTATGCACGTCGCTGGTAGAAGCTGAAGGTTTATAAGTTTGTGGTAGCAAGAAGTAGGTGTAGCAGCAATGAGAAAACTTTATTTCAACAGCAATGAGAAAACTTTAAAAGTTTGAAGGTTCAAATAACCAAATAGGCATGAAGGAGGTATCTGCCTCTTCGATGAAGCATAGATATCCGCGGGACTTATGCGGAGAAAGAAATCTGCGGGGCTTACGCGGAAGACGAGCACAGCCAACTTTTCCTTCGAACTGGACAATATACATGTACATTTGATTCTTGGACCTGGACATCATGTGTGATTGCTTTAGTCCAGTAGGTAAATAAACTGAACTCACCAAAAATACACTTGAGAGAAAGACTTCTCGTATTCACTCACAAAGTCCATTAGTTTCGTCACGTCTAATTCGTCTGGGTCATGAGTCGAGGCGTAAATAAAGATGTATGCTTCAACTAATTCCTCTAGTTTGCGATCGTACTAAAAGATCACTACTTCAGAATGCCCCAAAAGGATGTATTCTGTTTGTAGTTAATATCTCTCTTCCCACAGTGTCACTCATGCCGTTGACTCTCTGTAGAGCTCGGTTCATTTTAGATCTACAGTATGGTGTTATTTATCGAAAGCTCTTCATTACTGTTGGATTACGGTAAAAATTTCAAGAAGGGTCGCCTCAGCATGAAAACCAATCAAGCTGAGAACACTTGCACTAGGCCAGCTAGGGTCTCCAATCCTTAAAGGCAGTGTCCGGGCAAAAACTCGATTTTGAAATTTCGTGCTTATACAGGCCTATTCGCCTGCTGAATCCGAAAATCCACACTGAAAAGCGCGAAAACGGCGAAAAAGGCTCTAGCGCAGGAGGGGAACAGCAAGTGGGGGGGGGGGGCTTCCCCACTGTGAGTTCACGCTCCCAGCTTCCGGAGCGGTCTTCTCGATTCCGCTAGCCGTTCTAACTTCGCTACCGGCCAAGTGCGAATGATTGGCTTGAAACCGGAAGCGAGAAGATCGCTCCAGAAGCTGGGAGCGTAAAATTCACAGTGGGGAGGACTGCCACTGATTTCCCTCCTGTGTTAGAGCCGTTTTTCGCTGTTTTCGCGACCTCCAGTGTGCTTTTTCGGATTTAGCGTGGCGAATAGGCCCAGGTAAACACAAAAACTCAAAATTGAGTTCTGCCCGGACACTGCCTTTAAAGTAACTTGTACTTCACGCAACTGCTTTGTTTGGAAGTCATGCGAATATACCATAAAACCTTTTTCCTAGAATTTCCCGGGAACCGTTTATCACCGTGCCGTTCTATGCTGGAAGTTTTTATGTAATCTCATAGTAACGAAGAGCGATTGGTGAATTGCTCCATGTGCATCTAAGTTGAGGCTGCCTCTACATAATGGTAAAGAGAGGTCAGCAGAAAACTTTGTAGAGACTTATCAACGGTCCAACTCAAACAGTGCATACCCCTTTGGGCCCTGTATATTGACAGAGGAAAAAAAGGAGATCGTAAAAACATTAACAGCAAGCTTACTTGAGCTTTTTCTCCCTTGAGTAACGTTCCAATTTTATTTCTAACAGAAGGTTTGAGTCTATAATCATCCCACCAGCCGCATGCAGCTCCAATACACAAAATCACCTGGAATCTCAACAATGATGTAGCTACACACATAGATCAAGGCGACTTACGCTAAGAGTGAAGCAGAGATGACGCGGATGGCACATTGTGCCTGAGCCAATCTCTCTCAATTTATTCTATTTAACTTAAGCACTGCCTATTCAGTTTAGCGAGACAGCTGTCATCGGCCACCTGACTCCACAATATTTCAAATCATTCACGTGTCCGCTGAAGTTACCATAAGTGCTGCTATGTTTATAACCCGCCTGCACTTTTCACCTGTATTGGAGGAATTTTGATTGAAGACTATTGCCTTACTGAATCAAAGCAAGATGTTTGTAAAATTCTTGCAGCACTTGCAGTTCTAGCAGCATCGACGACAAATTAGTTATAAAGTAAGCACATTCGTGACTGCGTAATTTTGCCTACGTTATCTTGTATAGAAGCTGGTTTAAACAAATGCTTCTATGCTCTGCTACAAGACTATCAGGACTGGAAGAAAAACGGAAACTTGAGCATTTAAGAGCAACAGCTGTTCTTAAATGCTGCAGTTGGCGCAACGCCTTAGACTTGAGGCCTTGGTCATACCTCACGCGATTTCAGTGATATGCAATTTGTTTGGCAATACTCCACTTGTCCACAACAAAAGCTGTTCAGACTATGCGTATGGGGTCTGCCAGTTCGGCATTTGAACATCTGGTAAATTACCAGATCGCGTCGCAACTTAAATCGTGTGAGGTGTGGAGAAGCATACTTCATGCGATACAATCGATCTGGGCGACTCTATTTGGCAGGCTCACGACAGAAAGTCTTGAAATTTGGGACCTCCAAAAAGGATTATCATTCAACTATTTTTGGAGGGCCAACGAGCGCTGTTTTCGGAGTCGAAATATTTTTCGAAATTTTCTGGCAGACCAGGCGCGTTAAAAGGATGAGTTATGATGGTTTTTTCCTTTAAGACTATACGAATCAAAAACAAAAAAATCCATCAGAAAGAGGAGGAAAAGTTGCATCAAATAGCACCCAAGACACTCGCCGGTTGACGTTCTACGAGTTTTTAGTGAATCAGATTTTAAAATATTGGTAGCATTATAATATGCTACTGAAAAATTATGGCAAGCTATAAACAGGAGAAAAAAGTTGTACTTTTTCTGTATGGGCTCTATCCAAGAGTTGCTTCGGAGAGCTGACATAAAAGTTGAGAAATTGTGAAAGTTGATTATCTCAAATAGCATGGGTCGCATTTTGGTAATTTGCCGAGTATTCATTAACAATGCTGCAATGACATCAAAACCACTAGAAAGAGGATGACATGCTGCATCGAATGCTACCAGGATCTTTTACATATCCTTGTTCCTGGAAATGTGGCGTTCATTTGAATAGGGCAAAATATTGGAACGACCTAATATTAGGTCAAAGAAATGTCATAAGTTTTTGTGTTTTTTGAAAACAAATGTAAAGTTCGGCTCTTTTAGTCACTCTAAAAACTTCCGTTCTCACAATGCTTTTGGCATATCGCATCTCAAGCTGCCTCATTCGTCACATGCATTCTGTGATGTGCCGTAATAATCCTGAAAAAACCAAGAATACTACAGCGAAGCTTATATTCATTCATTTGAGTGTAAATATTGTCTTTCAATTCAAAAGATTTTTTTACGCTTAAAGTGGGCGCACCTGGGCATTTTCGGCGCCGATATTCTCGTTTGATGTGAGAGACAGGCTCCCACATTTACAAAACAAAAGCTTCAGTTCCTTCAAGACTTCTTCTACGATCTTGTAGGGTGCTTGACAAAATGATATTATGCAAAAAAATCTTATATATAAAGCTGAATGTCTGTTTGTCTGTCTGTCTGTTTTCTGTATGTCTGTCTGTCTGTACGTATGTTCCGAATAGAAAATTCCATTTCTGAACCGATCCGGACCAAACTTGGCACACATACACTACGGGCCCCGGCGGGTGTCATAGGCTACTTTTCGTCATCGATCGATATCGATTTTATCGGTTTTTATCGATTTTTTGCTGAGTTCACCTACGGGGCTGGGAGTTGGCACAGGGGGGTAATCGAGCATGGGGATTCCGAATACAATATTGGTTTTCAGGATTATCGATTACTTTTATCGATTTCATCGATTTTTTTGCAAAGTTTGAGCTACGGGGCTGGGAGTTGGCACAGCGGGTAGTCGAGCATGGGGATTCCGAATACAATATTGGTTTTCAGGATTATCGATTACTTTTATCGATTTTATCGATTTTTTTGCAAAGTTTGAGCTACGGGGCTGGGAGTTCGCACAGGGGGGGGGGGGTAATCGAGCATGGGGATTCCGAATACAATATTGGTTTTCGGGATTATCGATTACTTTTATCGATCACCCCCCTTGGGGGTGATCAGCATGCTCGATTACCCCCCCTGTGCCAACTCCCAGCCCCCTAGCTCAAACTTTGCAAAAAAATCGATAAAATCGATAAAAGTAATGGACGATCTTGAAAACTAATATTGTTTTCGTAATCTGCATGCTCGATTACCCCCCTGTGCAAACTCCCAGCCCCGCAGGTCAAACTTTACAAAAAAATTGATAAAATCGATAAAAGTAATGGACGATCCTGAAAACTAATATTGTGTTCGTAATCAGCATGCATTACCCCCCTGTGCAAAATCCCAGCCTCGCATGTCAAAATTTACAAAAAATCGATAAAATCAATAAAAGTAATCGATAATTCTGAAAACTAATATTGTATTCGGAATCCCCATGCTCACTCCCCCCCCCCCTGTGCCAACTCCTAGCCCTGTAGGTGAACTCTTCAAAAAAATCGATAAAAATCGGTAAAATCGACATCGATCGATAACGAAAAGTGGACTGTGACACCCGCCGGGGCCCGAAGTGTATGTGTGCCAAGTTTGGTCCGGATACGGCGGAGCCGGGTAAGTCAGCTAGTGTTTTATAATATGCTTTTCCAAAAACCCTGAAGATTTTTCGTAAGCTATAGAACTTCACACAAAATTCGTCTCTTCCAAAATAGCAGTCACTCTATTCATCACGTGGTAGCTTCAAACAGCTACAGCTAACTTAGTTAGCCAAAAGCGCTTTATTTGCTATTTTCAGTACTCTGTACAAGGGCATCAAACGTTTGGTTGACAGAAAGGGCAAAATGCCTTGATAGTCTGTCCTGTTGAGTCAATGCAGCGATAGCAAGTCTAGAATGACTGAACTAGGATAGGTGCACTTTTTCAAACAACAAATCGAACCTCAGTAATATAATTTTCTAGTGTGAGAACAAACCAATAACACTTTGTACAGAGCAGAAATTTAGTATCGTACTGATGAAGCAATTATCTCCTCTATCGGTAATAGCAGGAACTTTTGGTGATTTTCGAGCTCACAATGAGTTCATAGCCACTAGAAAGAGGACAAAATGCTGTATCGAATGCTATCGAGATCTCAATCGTTGTTTCATGAAATGTGGCATTTATTTGAAAAAGCGAAATTTCTGAACGACCCAATACCTTGCGCAAAAGGTGGCTCTGATTTAACTAAAAGTTTGGGATTTTTTTTGTTCCATTATTTTTTGAAATGTCGTAGGGCAAAGAAAACCGCCACCGTTCTGATAAAAACCACCAAATCCTCTGAGCTTATAGAAATTTTGAGTCGATGTCGAAGAGTAACAAAAACTAAATATGGCCCATGTCGCCCCGCCGTGATGTGTATATGTGCAGAACTTGTTTCATGTAATGATTGTCAAGGATAGAAACCACGCGACTGGTACCTAGACTGGTACCCTTGGATGCAAAATTCGCTCGCTCCGAACAAAAGTTAGCGTCCGGAACGAAGTTTCGCAAAAACCAAAGATTATTGACTTAGCGTTATGGCGGCTGAGCCCTTCGAACGTGGCACTTGTGTTCACAAACTAGCTGGCAATCCCAGCTCACCAGGCCTGTCAGTAATATATACGCAATTAGGCTCACTTCCTCTTCCCCTCCCCCCCCCCCCCGCGCCAACTCCCAGCTCTGTAGCTTATTGCTGGGCCAGACTGCGAGGCGAACGCGACGTATGCAGCGTACGCCGCGTACGCTTCTATGATGAAATATATCGCGCGTACGCTGCGCAGGTCATGTGCGCCCATACGCCGCACACTGTGGCTCAACCCTCAAGCTTTGCAAAAAAAACGAGTATCAGTGTATGTATGTATACCTGTAAGTGTATCTGTGTGCAGAGCTTGGTTCGGCTCGGTTCAGAACTAATACAAAATATACGTACAGACACACGTATACACATACAAACATTCAGCTCCACAGATACAGATGATGAACGGTAATCCATGTCATAGAGAGCAACTGACCTATGTTGCATAAATCCAGACAATTCAAGGTGTTGGAAAAGCAGCGTATGCATTTCCGAATATGATATGACAGTTGTCAAATAGGCACCCCAGCTCCAAAAGTGGTTAGAGTACATGATTACGAAATAAAAACAGCCTCTAAGCATAAAGTGCAGTCAAATGGCATGTACTATTCGGGCTATAATTATATACTTACAAGGAATGTCAGGTAACTTAGAATTGCGTGTTGAGATGAGACACATATATCTGGATTCAACTTCAGACACTGATTTCAAATATACTGTTCCTAGCCGCGGCACATCAATATAAAGCGAGTTATCAATTTTCTCCGTGCAAAATTTGCACGGAGAAAATCGATAACTTCTCTTTGACATGCTGACATTACGGTGTCATCACCTAAGTGTTACTTGTCTGCATAAAGTTTATTGTCAATTACAAAAGACTCGCCAGTATAATTTTAGTACCCCAGCACCGTCTTTAGGCAGATTTTCATCTACAGACACCCTTACCATATGGAAAAGTATGGCAATTTATTTTTATTTTTATTTTATTTTATAAATACACTCGAGGTGCACCAGAGCAAAGAAATAAAAGAAGATCCAAACAAACAATGAGACCAGCCAGTCCTCAGCCGCAAGAGAAGATAAAAGAAAATACGGAATGAAATAGAACTCGAAGCTCTAGACCCAGCTTGTAAAGTTGAACGAAAGTAACTTGATCAAAAACAATCACATGAATCTTGCGTACTCTAAATATCAAAGATGCCCCGTTTTTGGGTGTCAAC